ATTTCGGATTTTAGAAAATGCAATCCAATCCGAATTATATCGGATCGTATCGGATTTTAAAGTTTGGATCGGATCTTACGGATCATATTATTATGCCTCAAAGTTGCAAACTAATATTTTTTTTCTTTGTAAAAGAGGCAATATATTAAGAAAATTCATGTTTATGCAATTATGAGAGTACTATAGTGCCAATATATCTAAATCTAGCAATTGTAAAGGTAATAACTTGGAGGAAGATGTATAGGAAGTATTTACTATCCGAAATTAAAGTGTAGTATTTATACATTGCCTAATAATTTCGGATTTCGGATCGGATCGGATTAAAATATACCAATCCGAATCCGATCTGAAATCCGAAATTTTAATAAACACAATCCGAAATCCGATCCAATCTGAAATCCAAAATCCGAAATTCAATGGATCGGTTCGGATTTCGGATATCCGATCCGAAAGAACAGCCCTAGCCGGAACCAAAATACGGGTCCGATACCATCAAAGTTTAAACACATTTCACTTCCAAAAACTCAATAATATTCCAGAAAATAATTTTCTTTAAAAATTTATTTCTCGGGCTTGGGACCTTGGAATTCGATTCCGGGCATACGCTCAAGTTCCATATTTTCCTACGGACTCTCGGGGACCGTCAAATCACGGGTCCGGGTCCGTTTACCCAAAATGTTGACCGAAATCAAATTAATTCATTTTAGAGTCAAAATTCATCATTTTTCACAAATTTTCACATATTGGCTTTCCGACTATGCGCCCGAACTGCGCACGCAAATGAGGTGATACTGAAAGGTTTTTAAGGCCTCGGAACATAAAATTCATTTCTAAAACAAGTGATGACCTTTTGGGTCATCATTTACATTTATTTAAATGATGTTTTATTATATTATTAAATAATTATATAAAATTTATAAAATAGGGCATTTAGATTTTTTAGAAGGGTATTTATGTAATTTGACTTTTTAGTTATGGGATTCCCACTTTTAATATAATATAGATTATGATTATGATAAAAGAGCCTACCATTTATTATTTTGTAATAATGTTGCTTCGTCTTCTCGGTCATCTGATAGTGTATCATGTAGTTCATTATAAAAAGGATAATTTTGTACCAAATTTATTTATGTTCAGGACTATAGTTTACGATAATATAAGAATGTTATTGATAATGGTATTGTTGTGTATTTGTGATAGTTTTTAGAAATTGTGGGTATAAATCATGTTTCATATTTTTTCCAAAATAATTTTGGGAAATATTTTTTAAAAACTGATGTCTAAACACATTTTCATCTTCAAATCAAACTCCACCCAAATGAGATTTTTCAAAACAAATTTGGGAATTTATGGTCAAACGCTAGCTACTTACTGCTCAAAAGTATTATCGAAATACTACACGCACACTCCTATAAGGTATATCTATAGCTAAATGTAATATTTTTTAATTAAAATTAATTTTAAAAAATAATGTCTTATTTTCATTTTTGTTTGTTTATCTATAAAATCTATATATAAATATAAAGCTGGGAATTAGTAAGGTGATGTGGCACCTCTATCTGCCCAGCAATTATAATTATCTTTTTTCTCCTTTTTTTTGCATTTTACTTCCTTTTTCATTCAATTATTAAAACTATTAAAAAGTTTAAAATAATGTATTAAATAATAAACAACTGTTACGTCTTTTATTGGGAAGTCCAAGACGTTACCTCAAAGCCTGATAAAAGAACCGTCCCTTGGATATATCTTTTCCATAACTCACATATCTTAATGTCCTTAACTTTTCTAATTAATATATTAGGAATTTTTACATTCCTATACACTATATGAAACTATATTACCCTCCCTACTCAAGTTTTACTATAATTATATTTTATATACCCAATTACCATTTATGTACATTTTAAGGGAATTAATGATAATAATTAGTGTCCTAAACGTACTCTAACATATTTTCCACTCCCCCACGTTTCTCTCTCCACATCTTACCCCCACGTATCTTGCACCCACCCACGATTTCACCATTAAAAACATTAAAAGGTTTGAAGCTTTGAATTCGAATTTGGGTTTTCAAAAAACATTATTTGTTTGAATTGAATATTGTTGCAAAGAATTGAGAATTCTCTATACGTCTCTCTCTATCTCTCAATCCCTAATTTCAGTAATGTAAAGCAAAGAAAAAGAAAGCAGCAATTTCACCATTGACAGCCATTAAAAAGCTTTGAAGCTTTGAATTCGAATTTGGACTTTCAAAAATCATTATTTGTTTGGATTGGGTATTGTATAATATATAATTCGTTGTATGAAATTTATTTTTACTATGTATAAATCAGATACAAAATATACAAAAGACATTTTGTATAAATTTTATATAAAATTTGTATTTAAGTTATATGTTATTGTAGTTGTATTTAACTGGGTAGAAATAATGTGTGAAAGTTGTAGATAAGTTGTAGATAAATTATATAATATATAATTAGTTGTATGAAATTTATTTTTACTATGTATAAATCAAATACAAAATATACAAAAGACATATTGTATAAAATTTGTATTTGTTTCTATGCAGCTTTATTCACTTTTAGGGTTCTTTTGTCATTTAATTATCTTCTCTTTTTTAACTTGAAATCTTAATCCATATACTGGAAAATTTTCAAATGCAAAGCCAGAGCTAACAGATTATTTTGTTAGTGAAGATAGTCCTGCTACCTTAAAATTATACCGTCATGTTCAGAGGTGAAATGTATATATTTTATCCCTATTCACGAAGTTTGGCACTCCGCAAGGTCATCATGCCTTCAACTTTCTCATCTCTTGACCTGTTTCAGTATTCAAAGGAACAAATAGAGCATGTTGTAGAAACCTGTATTACGTGATAGAAACTTTTTGGCTTTTGCTAATGTTTACGTGCAAGAAGTTGACTGCGTAGGTTTCTTATATTTCAGCTTGTAGTCGTGTAACTGATGACACAGGCATGTATTTTTTTCTTGTTCTTTGCTTAAGGTCTTTGTACGAGTTCATCAGTGGAATTCATTTTAATCCTAGAAATGGTAAAGCTGTTGAAAAGTATGGTCTTAAATCACTTCGCAATTAACATACAATAATTCTGAACATGAATAAATTTTCTTTGCCCCCTCCCTGTTCTTGCCTTTTTGTCTTCTAAGATATGATCTTCTCTTGTTTGGTGCAAGTTGGGTTGCTTAAAATATGCAAACTCCAGATATATATTGTTTGTGTAGGTAAACTATGAGATTTACTGTGTTCACCTTCAACTACTTGCTAATTAATTACATACTTTTTTTGGTGCATTTTATCTTTATAAATCACAGGTTGCTACATCAAACAATCACATTTTATCTCACTCGGGAGTCTATCAAATGGACCGACACACAACTGAATTAAGAGGAATTGAACAAGTAAAGAAAGCTTTTTCCTGCTTGTTTCGTTAATGCTTGTGCGCGAAATCATAGAAAATTGAATCAACTCTATTGCCGCATGAATATGAATAATTCTGGAAGTGATTTAAGGTGGAACTAAATCCCTTAATTGAATTGGGAGCCTTTTAAGATGGAATGTATATATTTTGTAAACAAAACTTGTGTAGGTAGGGTAATTTACTAAACATGAACATTTAGGATAATAAAGTTTCTAATAGTGTATAGGAATGAAAAAATCCCTTAATATTATCCATAACTCTCATGTCTTTTCATGTTTATAACTCCCAAATGCTTAATATGTAATTATATGACACCTTATTCTGTCTTTCAATGTTCATCTCATCACATGGCTGGTCAGATTGCCGGCGGAGAGCTTAATAAACTAAAGCAGGATCTTGTATTTCGCTATGCAAGAACAAAAGAAGTTATAGGATGAAACGGATATAAAAATTTCCACTTTTAAGCATGGCCTTAATTTGTGACAAACTTCATGATGATTTATCCACATAAAAAATGAGGGCCGCAATGCAGCCAATCTGATGCAGTGCAGGTACTTTTTGCTTGCTAATTTCTTAAAACAGTTTCATCTTTATTTCATTAAGTTATTGTTCATGCGATCTTATGATGGATTTGCATATCTATATTATATGGACACATAATAAACTATTGGAATTTAATTGGTGCTTTCGTTGTTGCTTTAAACGGAGAAACAGAAATGCTAACATAGAAGTAAAATTAATTATATATTTGACAGAGAATTAGGATAATAACATAAAAATGTTACCATGAAGAAGGGAATAAAGTTTTTTATTTTTTGGACCAACTGTAGGAGGGAGGGAGGAAGAGAAATAAAAGAAAAGAAAAGAAAAAGTAATAAAGTAATTGTATTCCTAACCTTTGTTTTAATTATAACTTAAAAGTTGGCTTTAAGAAGCAAAAGCCATTCTCTTAACCATTCTGTTTTGCGACGAAGATCTTGATAGAAAGAGGAGAAGAGAAGAGATTATCCTTGCATAAACAACCGGTCATATTTATTATTTACTTTTCTAGCCATATACATTGATTATACACAATTACACATTTAATACATAAATTATACATATATTATATCTCCGCCGGTTATTTTTAATTTAAGCAAAAGTTTAAGAAGTTAAATGGGCGGGAGTTAATTCTTAGGGTGCAATTTCATCCAATATATTGCTACTCAATTATCTAGTACGTGAAAGTTTCCTTTTAAAATTACTATTGCTTTATTTGGAAAATTTTTTTCTTCCAAGAGAGATGATACTTGCGTGTTAATTACTTTTTTCTTTTATTTCTGTTAGGATAGTTTCTTCTGTCTTAGGATACTTGTGTGTTAATTCCAACCTAACTGTAGATTGGCTGATGTTTTAGGACCTATAATATGTCCGTAACTATAATAAATCCTGTAATTTAATCAATCCTTGTTTGCTAATGGTCGAGAGGTATGAAATTTTCTGATAAAATAATCAGCTCACCTATGCTCTTTTCAAATAATTTAGCTCACTAAGCATCTCGTGGTAAAGGTTGTGAAAGACCATGTAAAGGCAATGAGTCATATTTCCTTGTTTTAATTCAACACAAGATGAAATACTTAATTTCAGCACCACTCATGAATAATGTCACAAAGAGAATATGAGAACTCTCTGAATTCCTTTTTCCTATTTGCACTGTTCTGTTCACATGTAAACCTAATTGCAGAATAAATGTAAACATAGTTACAGAATAAAATTATACAGAGATTAGAGATGTGTCATGTACTGCTAGGCAATGGAGGTCTTGTGAAACACGTTACCCTTCCCAGCGTGAGTTGATGCCATAAAGAATCTTCTATTCTACCATCTACAGATCATATAGTACATTTCATGCTTCTGATGCAATCTAACACTCAGTCGCATGCCCTCGGATAGTGAATCATAATACTGAGTCAAGCTGAGACATGGACCTGCTAGCTTTCAGAGTAACCTCGACTCTTCAATTTAACACCAATACCCTGCAAACATAACGAAACTTAGCCAGATGCCAGCGGCCAAGCAGTTTTAAAAAAATATATGAACAGTTAAGATTCATGCATATGTAAAGAGACTTGATAGTATCTGCCTGTACTCGGACAGAGATGGGAACCCAATAACAGCCAGATCAAACAACAAACGAGCAAATATAGAATGCAACCGATTATAACTAGCTCATTTGAGTGAACTAGCTTGAGCAACTATTGCATGTTACAACCAACCAGCCCAAAAAGAATGATCAATACATTTTCCATTCAGAATAATATATAAAGATTTCTGTTTCGGCATAACAAAACATAATTATGTGGCAGTGAATCACAAGTGATAATAGGGCAATTGTAGAGCTGGATGCAAGTTACAGAGTCATTGAGGATAATTTGTATGAGAAATTTTGAAAACCCCAAGCCATAAAACAATTCGAGGGGCCAACCGTTCTCCAAACTTTAATATGTGCATTGATTTGAGACCTCTGTACAACCATAGTGATAGAAGGAGGCATATAACAATCAATGCTGACTTATCAGTACAAACAAGCATCAACCACAGTACAACTTATGCATACATAAGAAAGTGGATCCATCACTATTTTTTGATGAAAAAGCAATCTGATCCAAATAAAAATTAAACTACATTTTTTTTCTTCAGAAAAAAATTTAAAAGATTTCAGTTTAGAGAAAGCATTTGACATTTTGGTTTAGCAGCATTACAATTGATGATCATCTAAATGTTAATTGTATTGAACTGGTGGATTAAAGTTGGCAAGTCATAAGAAATAAAAAGAAAGTTTCTACTACTATAGCCTAAAGGAAGTCAATCAGAGCCAAAAAAGAATAACATATTTCATTGTCAGACAGAACCATAAACTAGTCTATAACTAAATCCTTAACTCATAAAAATGCTCTTCCAATTTTCAAGATCCTAGTTCCCCTTATAAGATTTCCACAAAATACAACCACATTTCAGTTGGGAACTTTTCATCAACCAAATAGCTTCAGCTCGATTGTCTGCTAAAAATACTCAGGTAGATTAAAAATAGGGATTTTTACACAAATAGCCGATAAAATTCATTGTTTACTTTTTCTTAGCAAATATACATTGATTATACATGATTATACATGATTATACACATATTATATATGGACTATGCATATATTATACATCTGCCGACTATTTTTAGTTTAAGCAATTGGGTGGGTGGCTAATTCAGTTAATTCTTCTTTAACAATATGCTTACAGTTCCTGACATAATGATATATATANACTTCAAATTCAATGTAAGCATCGATGAGTATCCTCTTCCATCCATACGTACAGGAAGGAGAGAAATAAGCAATGCTAGAGTCATACCATTTCATATTAGCACTGCCGAGGAACAGCTTCAACTCAAAAATGAAATGCAGTTGAGTAAATAGATTGCTAACTCTAGGGAATTTACACAAGCTCGTTAAAATAAAAAGGAATTGGGAGCTGGATGCAAGTTAGTGTCATAATTGATGGTTTTTAGGAGAAAATTTGAAAACCCCAACAGCATAAACAAATTCGAGGGGCCAACCATTCTCCAAACTTTCATATAAGCATTTGATTAGAGACCTCTCTACACCCATAGTACTGGGGAAGAGGAATAGACCAATCAATGCTAACACAAGCCATGTTATGCATACATAAGAATGAACAAAATCAAAATAAGGATATACCAGTTTACCAGTTCTGTTGGAGACATATGACGGCGCAGTATCCGTCCGATTCCGTGAGCTTCGTTGTAAACCAAACACATTATACAGAGACTCAAAGCTCCTCTATACCCTATGCTAAACCACTAAGTTGGATTTAGTATTAGAGGATTCATCATTTAGTATTTAGACAATGATGAATCCTCTAAATATTGAATCCACATAGAGGGAGATGTTCAAATGTAGGTCCAAGTAACAAAGCGATAAAGGAGTTTTCGCTCCTTACTCGTAACGCCTGCCATTGGGAGGCACCGCCAGAGCTATAACACAGACAGCTTATAGATGTACATGCAGCCACTGATTAGGGTTTTAGAGGCACAGCCGCCACTGATTAGGGTTTTGCACATCCAGCGCTGTAGTGGTGCTTCTATTTATAGGAGTAGAAAAAAAGAATGAGCTCCCATTTTTACCAAACTATATGAGAAATGACGAAAATGGTCCTTTATGTTTGAGGTATGTTCTTATTAGTCCTTTAAATAAACTTTTGAGCAATTTTGGTCATTTCCCCATTAAATATTTAACAAACTTTGACTAATAGATTTATGTTGGGTGGTACCCCAAGCTTTATGTTGCATCCACCAAAAGAAGAATTGGTTGAAAAGGTAATAAGTGTATTTTGTTCTCAATTATCTTTCTGTCAATGATTCTGCTATTTCTAATTTGATTACTCATGATAAACCTTTTTGATGTCAAACCTGCACTCAATAGTTTTCAAGTATTTGGTTTTTCTGAATATGAGTCACCTATGAAGCATTCATTTCAGGGATCTGAATGGTATTTTGCCTTCAGTGATGATCTGAGCAGCAAGCGTAGTCCTTTCTTTCTTTAGTAGAAAATCTAGGAGTGGATGCATTTGGCTTTAAAATCTAAAAGCAACATTTGAGACACGAGAGATTAAACCAGACCTTAACACTAAACATGATACTTTTTGCTGATTTTTGGTAATTTTAATAATTAAGATGTTATACATAATCGTGAACTGCATTAGAGCAAAAGGCTGAGGCAATTATGCGAGTTTCATTTTTGCTTTACCATCTGTATAAAAAATAATATCTTGAGGTGGCTTTCTTATAATCTGGATATGCTATTTTGGGGTCAATCTATTAAGAATAGGATTGCATAGTTATGGTTCTTTTCCATCAAAATTTTATTTTATTCAAGACAAGTTATTACAAATACAAGAGCGGGCGGTGATTGCATGAACCAGCGTGCGGACCGTGTGAATCAAATATCGTATTGATGATTCACATGGTTTTGTGATTGCATGAACCAGCGTGCGGACCGTGTGAATCAAATATCGTATTGATGATTCACATGGTTTTCTACCATATGTAGTTCATTTTCATTGTTCATAACCTTCATGGGAAGGTGTGGAGGTTGAGAATAAAGGCATAGCGTTGTCCTTGTCTGTAACAATAGCTTTAGTAAATGAGTTAGCGTTAGTTATGTATTTTCGTGTTTCTTGATTATTACTTGTTGTTGCTTTCGTTTTGGCCTTCTGATTACAATACTCAGTTTTAGTTTTGTATCTTTGTATTTTTTTCTTCGGTTTTAGAATTGGTGTGATTGTTGTTGTCGTTCCTTTTATCTTTCCTAAGTCGAGGGTCTTTCGGAAACACCATCTCTGTCTTTTTGAAGGTAGGGGTAAGGTCTGCATACATACTACCCTCCCCATACCCCAATTGTGGGATTACGCTGGGTTTGTTGTTGTATACTTAACTTAAGAGTTAAGAAGAAAAAAAGGTCTTTTTTTTCATTGTCCAACAACAACAACAACAATAGTGCAATCCCATAAGTGGTGTATAGGGAGGATAGAAAGTACGCAATCTTACCCCTAGCTTTGTGAAGGTAGAGAGGTTGTTTCCAATGCACCCTCGGCTTAAAGAATCATGCATAATCACAACATTATAAAGAACAAACATAGGTTTTATTTATTTTGGTCATCCAAATTATCTATAAAAAAAAGATTAAGATGTATATTTGGTCCGACTAATCCTGAGTCGAGGGTCTATCAGAAACAGCCTCCCTGTCCTACCGGTGTAGGGGTAAGATCTACGTACACATTACCCTCCCCAAACTCCACTTAGTGGGACTTTACTAGGTCGTTGTTGTTGTTGTTGTTGACTAATAGATTTAGCAAAAAGTATGAAAGAAAATATTTTATGAGATCTAACAAGAAATCTTATTAAAGCGGAAAATCTTAGTAGTATAGTTGGTTGGATACAAAACTTTCATCTCGTTAGTAAGAGTTCGATCTCCATCTTATAATCTTCTCCCTCTTTCTCCTTCCCTCCCCCCCTCCGCCCCACACCAAAAAAAAAGTTTCATCAAATCTCAAAAGTTGCACTAGACTCCATGAGTAAATCAAAGTATGAGAAATTGCACTGACACCAAAAATCGGTGTTTTAAAATGCATGGGCGTAAGGTGAGGTATTTTACATATGCCTCAGCGAGGCGTAAGCTCCGAGGCACGGGGCGTAAGCCCCATGGGTTTTTAAAATTTTATATTTCATAAAATAATACAATTTCAATAAATATTTACAAATGGGTAAAATTGCATAAAAATACACACACACACACACTCCATCCCAACAAAAAACTAGTCAAAATAATCAATTATATGTTACTTACAAGCACAAGTGTCACGACCCGAATTCCCATCGTCGGGACCATGATGGCGCCTAATATCACACTCGCTAGGCAAGCCAACGTTAGAGTTATATTCACCTTTTTCTTTATATTTTCATAATTTAAAATTTACAAAACTAATTCGAACAGATATAAATGCGGAGGTACATATTTAACTGATTATCCTTATATTATCAACAAAACTGAAACAGTTATCGTCCAGAAACTGGTGTCAACCCACGAACATTCTAGGAATAGCTACAAGTAATGGTCTGAAAGAAAAGTACATCTGTCTCGAAAGAAAAAAAAATAGAAATGCAGCACATAGGAGGGGATGCCATGGCCTGCGGACGCCTGCATCATTACCTTGGGTCTCCTAGGTGAATGCTTGCAACCGACCTCTCGATCAGCCACAATCAGCTCCAAAATCTCCACAGAAAGTGCAGAGTGTAGTATCAGTACAACCGACCCCAAGTATTGGTAAGTGTCGAGCCTAACCTCGACGAGGTAGTGACGAGGCTAAGGTGGGGCATTTACAATATAACATGCATACAATATATAATAAAGCAAAAAGGAAGTATGGAACGAAATGCAACAGTAACTTGCAATAAAATAATTACGGAACTCAATTATCTTGCCAGTACTCAGCTATAACCAGTCCTTAAGAGAGTTACAGTGCTACATAATAGAATCACAACAGAGGAAAAATACATAAACAATAAAATAATGCGGCGCGCATCCCGATCCCACCATATAATCATTACAATATGAACATTCACCCTTATTACTCCTTGTTGCGGTGTGCAACCCGATCCCACCAGTCTACCCTTATTACTCCTAAATATATCACCCTTATTCCTCATGTTGCGACATGCAACCCGATCCCACCTCTCCACCCTTATTATTCCTTGTTGCGGCGCGCAACTCGATCCCACCAGACAATCACATTTCACCCTTATTCCTCCTGTTGCGGCGTGCAACCCGATCCCACCATGTCAGTACCAATCACACAATAAGAAGAAGTATTTCACGATTTAGCTCAAACCCTCCACGACATTTATGACTCAACCAAATCAAACGGAAATCTATACAATTATGAAATCTCCTCAATATTACTACACAGCGAGACCAAACAGAATATATCATGAAACACCAATAAACCAACTTAAGCCAATAACATAATACAATGAAACTACGGAACTATTAATACCTTCAATAAAGAAAACAACATCTAACAAAAAGCAAATAGACATGGAAGCATCAATAAGCACATAGCAGTTAAGACAGAAAGACAATATATTAGAAATGGGGAAGGGAACATGCTAAACAAATAATTTGGCGGCGCATAGGTACTCGTCACCACACCTATACGCCATGCACATGAAATTTCACATAGCAATTAAGTCTAGGATCCCTAATCCCTCGAGTCAAGGCCATACCAAACATTTACCTCAATCCAACGGCCAATTCAAAGCTCAATTACCACTTTACCTCTCGATTCCACCTCCAATCCACTCGTATCTAGTCATAATTAACTTAGTAACATTAATTATTGCTAAAGAAATCAATTCCAATGAATAATTATATATTTCCCAATATTTTTCCCAAAAAGTAAAAAATCGACCCCGGGCCCGCTTGGTCAAAACCCAAAATTCAGACCAAAACTCGACTACCCATTCACCCCTAAGCCTGGATATACAATTGGTTTTGGAATCCGACCTTAATTTGAGGTCTAAATCCCTAAATTTCAAAATTCTTAAGTTCTACCCAAAAATCCCCAATTCCACCATGAAAAATCCCTAGATTTTAGGATGAAATCTTGTGAAAAGAAGTAAAAGATTGAAAGAAATGAGTTAAGAATCATTTACCTATGATTTGAGGAAGAACTAGCCTTTGGAAAATCGCCTCTTGAAGTTTTAGGTTTTGAAAAATGGAAGAATGAATGAAAAATCTCGTCTAAGTCCAAAGTTATCAGCTGCAAATGTCGCATTTGCAACCTGAGCTTTGCAATTGCGAAGCTCGCATATGCAAGGTCCTCCACACCCCTGCTGCATTCGCAATTGCAAAGGTAATGTTCGCAATTGCGAATAGGAACCTCCACAAATGTGATCAAATGCCCCTCCCCACTTAACATCGCAAATGCGAAGGCTGCTTGGCCCAGCTTTTAATGGCAATTGCGATGGAAGCCTCGCAAATGCGGAAGCAGCAAGGTTCGCAATTGCGATGCCTGACCTTGCAAATACGAGATAAGAAGCATGCAACAAGTTCAACAATACCGGTAAATTTTTCCTAAGTTCCAAAATACTCTGTAGCCTATCTGAAATTCACTTGAGCCCTCAGGGCTCTGATCGGTTCCAACCCTACACCACTATAGAATGGTAAGCAAAAGGTCGGGATCGAATCTGTAGAGAGCTAAGATATGTTTGGAATTGGGTTCCTATCTAATCTAGCAATGTGTGATGTTCTTAATTGCACTTCCAATCATTCTTTGTTTGTTTACTATTCTACTTTAATACTAATGATGCATGAAAATAAGCTAAGTATGATATTTTTGTAAGGTATGGTATTTTTGTAAGGTTTTCTTAATTGGTCTAAAGGCACTAGGGAAGTGACTTGCACTTAGGTGGGTATGTAACGGGATCTAAAACTTAAGGCAAATTTGTTATAATCGGGATCTTGATATAGCCATTGCATATAACTACTCGCTCTATACCTCTCGGTAGTTTGAGTGACTTTGCCCTAATTGGCTTTCTCAAGCCCAATTGGGTGTTCAAACAATGCAAGCAAAATTGGATCAAATCGGGTATTACTATCTCTAGATTTAACCCTTTAATTGGGGCTATCAATCTCTTGAATGCACCCCAATTCCTTGTTGGCTAGAATTTTTTAGACTTAGTCTCTCTTTCTCAATAAGAGCCTAAGTCAAAAAGGCACAAATCAGTATTTGCAACCACCAATTCAACATTTAAAGCATAAATCAAACCCAATATTATTCACCCATAAACATTTAAGCCTTAAAATTGAAGACCCATTAAATACCCACACTAGGGTTGAGCCACAACCCTAGCTAATGGGTTTAGCTACTCATAATCAAAGAAGAAATCAAAGATTGAGATGAAATATAAGCCATAAAAAAGTAGTCACGAGATTAAAATCTAAGATTAATTGCTAAAGATATTCTAAAATTACTCAAAAAAGTAAAAGGAGGCGGTTCACGTGCTCTACAAAACGACATATGACCTAAAAATCTGAAAAAGAACTATTTATACACCGCAAAGTTTTTCGAACAAAAATGCCCATACGGAGGTTCCGCTGACAGTGGAAAATAGACCGTTGCAGCGCTATAGCTACCGCGGCTGCGCAAAAGTGAGTGCGAACCGCGGTCTTTAATTTTTAGATCCATTTTTGGTTCTCTGAATCTGGCTTCCGCTGGGCGATAAAATGATCGCAGCTGCGCAAAAGCCACTGCCGCCGCGCAATTTCACCGCGGGCAGCGGTAACTTGATAAGCCCAAAATTACAGCTCTCTAAACCTTGCCACCGCTGAGAGCGAAATCAAGACCGTCTCAGCGGCGGACCCTCCGCGTCCACCTTTGTTTCTTCGCAGTCAGCGCTCTTTTGGCCCAGCTTTTGAACTTGTGCAGGTTTCACTCCTTTTTGAGCTGGTTATGACTTTCTTGTCTCTTTTTTGACTAAACACTGCAAACAAGCACAATAAGTTAGCTTTCGAAAATACTTGTACACACTTTTAATCTAAAACCTAAGCAAAAAAGGAGCATAAAATAGGCTAGAATCCCTAGTTATCAACTCTCCCAAACTTAAAACTTTTGCTTGTCCTTAAGCAAACAAAGTAATTCCCACTTCCTCAAGCTAAAAGAAAGAAAAATTTCAGTTGTCCTAAAGTAACCTCATCAAGAATCAATTGGGACTAACAATTACCCTCAACTCAAATGCATTATTAACAATACACAATATTTTTAGCACCATGGCTATAGTGCGACACAAAAGCATCAAGAGTTGACTCAACTCATCAAGGAAACTTTTTCTATTACATTGGTTGTTGTGGAACCCAAACTCATACTCCTCAACTCTCCATAAGCAAACCTCACTTTTTAGATTGTAGCACTCAGAACGAGGATTTTGGAAAATACACTCATCTCTCTCAAAGGAAGGTCACAAGTCTGGCTCTAAGTACCATAAACTTGCCCCTTATATGAGTCACCACTAATGTAAGCTCACTCAACTCAAGATCATATAGGGCTTTTGCGGGAATGCAATGAAGTCTTTTGGTTCAGGGTAGGATATATTGGTCTAAGAAGGTTTCATCTTTCCTTAAGCACTTCATTTGTTTCATTTTGGCACACATTTTCTTGACTCTTTGAGTCATTTACTTATTCCTTAGGGGCTAGAGAGACACACTGTCACTCTTTCTTATTCATTTTAATCATTTTTCTTCTTTCTAATCTTTCTTAGCTTTTCATATTTTGCTTTTATTGAATCCCTTAATTTCTTCTACATTGTTCACTTTCTTTTTGACTTTTTGGATTTTTTTTCTTTTTCTTTTTGAATTTTCTTTTCTTCATTTTGTACCTTTTATCACTTTTGCATTTTTTGTCTCTCCCCCAAAACTTATGCTTTTGGCTTGTGCTAAGGAAAGATCGGGTGACAAGAAAGGATCATTTTAGAACGGATAAAGGCTTGTATCATAGTTATTGAAAGAATAAAGGTTATGGCTCAACGGGTTTGACTAGGGATATTATCATTGGTGGGCTATGGATGTTTCCAAGTCTCCATTAGGATCAAGGAGAGTCTATAATCACTTCTCAAGTCGGGCTACACTTAGGATTTTGCCTAGATAAAAAAACATTCAGGGCAAGTTCTAGACTCATTGGCACGGGACTTGGATTTTCAAATCAATACCTCACCACACAAGATATAAGATTGCTAAAGAGAGAGAGTCGGGGGCCCACAACAACCTTAGCTAAGATTTGAGCAACACAAATGGTTCCGAGAAACCACTCGATGATTGTTTAGTCAACACAAGAGTCTCAAAGTCACAACTATCACCAACCTATACATACCAATTTATTTTAACCATAAGGTCAAAAGTAAATGCGTTAGGCCCAAGTGATGTTTTGCCTGAGGCATCATTGTTCACTAGCTACTATTTACACAAAAATAAAAAGAAAAATAGACTCAAACCCTTAAGAAGGTTGTCATGCCATCCATCATCGGAAAAAGCCACCTAGTTCATAAAACCTCCACCTTTGAAAAGAACAGTGACATTAAGAAAACCAAAGGCTTATTGATCACAAAAACTTGTAAAATAAGAAGCTACGAACCGAAAAAAAGAAGCTACTAAATGAAATAAGAAGCTATACTATAAAGGAAAATTGCAAAAGAAGTTATGAAGTAAAATACGGAAAGTAAACTAAATATGTACAATAGGGGATTTAGATGAATATACATAAGAGGGAATGAATATATACATGAGAGAGTAACTTTATATACAGACCAAGATTGAGAAATAACAAAAAGTGAAATAAATGGTAAAATTATATATATACCAAAAGTGAAAAATAAGTATAAAGAAAAAAATAGTATAAACATTACAAACCAACTACCAAATCATCAAAGTAGGACCACCCCCTCAAATGAAAACTAGCATTGTGCTCAATACTAAATAACCAAAAATAAGATCAAAAAGAAGGGTAGAGAGTAAAGAAAACTCTCTATGAGTCCTCTTTTTGCATGGGGTCATGTGGTTGGGTCCCTGGATCACCTGGCTCTGGGGCCTGTGGCTAGCCAGAGGTACCTCCCTCAGAATCCTCCAACTCAATCTCTACATCATTAACCCGGGGCATCACTCTCCTCCTCCTAGGCTCTCCCTCAGTCTCCTGCTCCTAAATCTGCTCTATTTGAGCTGCTGGAAGCTGGTCCTGTAATAGTAGCTCCAATGGTAGGTCGCCAGCTAACTTCATCTTCTCCATCTCTCCCCTTAATTGCTTCACTGACTCCTTCAAGGCCCGAGTCTTTTTCAGCTTCTTTGTCTGCTTGCTCAGCTCCTTAAGTGTTTTTCCCTGAACTACAAGAGCATCGATGATAAGCTTTTGATTCTCTAGGAGCTTCTTCTGGTTGTCCAAAGGCTCCTTGAAAGACTCTTCTACTGAAGCTGGCACCTGTGACTGTGGGGGAACATACTGGGCTGCCACTGAACTGGATAGCACAGACAGCTTAGAAGTTGTTGCTTACATCTAGTTGTTGATCATGGAGAGTGTTTGGTTCAATATATGAGCAGTCAACGGTATGCTGGGGAGGATGGCACTAAGGACGACATGGAAGTAGATAGTACGGAGGCAAGATCTAGTATGGCAGTTGGAGGTTGTAAAGTAGTGACTACCACTGCTGGCTCTTCAGACTGGCCAGTAGAAGTAGTAGCTTTGCCCTTGGATCCCTTGGATTTGGGGTTTCTTGGACCCTGAAGGTTGTACCATGAGAAGGGCTTCTTAGGCTTTACCATGACATCGAAATTTCTTTTCTTCACCTCGTGATCTTCCAAGTACATGGTTAGGTAGTTCGGGAATGGGTAAGATCTATCACCCTCGTTGACCACTCTAATAATCACCCTAGACATGATATTCCCGACATTGATCGGGAACCCCGCCATGATAGCCGCCACTACAATCGCCCGGGAAATCGGCATGGTGTTGTCGTGAGTAGTGGGGTCTAGTCTGCTGCACACAAAGGTCTCTCAACCCTTTGCCTCAAAGTTTAGGGTGTTCCTCAAGATAGGAACCCCTACTGTCAACCATGCTGGAGTAGTATCCGGGAGAGCCAGAAGTGATGCCAACCACAGGCGAGCTGCCTCATCCATCGCCACCTTCTCTAAGTACAGTGACTCATCTTCATCATTGAATCCCAAGTAATCATTGATCATCTTCCCATGAAACTTGACCTTCAGGTTCCACACCTTAGTCACTTTTGTGTCCTTTTTGATGTGGGAGGCATTGGCGTAGAATTCCTTGACTAGGTGCTCATTAGCATCCGGCACCTTGCTAGTGAAGTACTCACATCCCACTCATTCATTGAAGTGCTGCTTCATATTGGGGTTGTGAGGCAGAAGATCCCGCTCTATGAACTGGCACTCATGAATGAGTGGCTTTTGAGGACACCACTCCCTGAATTTATGGTATGCCAGCTCACTAACAAACCTATGTTGCCAAACCTCAGGGTTTCTTGTCCTTTCCACACCTCCGGTCTAGGTGTCACACCCTTTTCCTGTCATCCGGTACCTCGACATCTACATCTATGGGATCTTGTGTCGGTGACGAAGCTGTAGGTATGGCTAAAGCATAGGACTCGCTATCTCCGCTGAGCCATCAGACGACTCAGAAGTAGTAGGAGAAGCAGGAGAGGTTAGGGGTGTGGGCTCATCTGTCAAGTGAAACCTCCTCGGAAAGTCTGCTACATGTGTAGGCATCGAGTCAGTCTCTGAGGCCTCCCGGGAGGGCACATACTCACTCCCCTCGGAGTGGGAAGCAGCTCTGTCTGCAACTCGAATGTTCTTCCTTATTTGCCCAATGGATTTCCGTATTGCAGGGGTTAACTTAATTTGTCCTCGTCCCCTACCCCGGGAGGACTCTGCTTTCCCCTTTTGTTTCTCACTACCACCTTTAGATTTAACCATTGTCTGCAAATATAATCAGTGGAAGAGTGTTAGTACTGGTGCTAGAAGAAGCATTAAAGAAAAACATAAGAACAATTTACAATGCTTGAAAAAAATTGCAGACCGCTGACAACTGAAAAAGAAACGTTGTTATACCCTTTTTAACACGGGTCAAATTAGAGTATAACATATTGGTAAATATAGAGGTTTAATTAATTAAAATGAGCCGCCACCTAATTGGTTTAATGGTGAATTAGGACACCAATTTCAGCTAAATATTGCTAAAAATAACTCTGTTTATATGGTCTGGTTAGCTTAAGATTATGGATAAGGGTTCTAATTAATCCTAAAGGGAAGGTTGTTAAAGCACCCTATATGATCCGTTAATAACGGTAAACCGGCCAAACTGAGGTTAATTAATTAGGAAAAATAAAGTGTTTGAGACATAATAAAATAATTCACTTTGAAAGCATTACTAAGTAAGTGCCTAAATAAAATTTATACAATAAGCAAAAACGGCCTTTAGAATTAAACTTTGAAACAAACAGTTTTGTTTAACTCCAAATACGATAAAGTTCTAAATCAAATAACTTAAAAAAACGAAGCTGGCCAAATTCCAATTCTTGAAGACTCACATTTTTTATGAAAAGTAGTCCAAGTTTTCAAACTATTAAGACATGATGAGGAGAAATCAATTTCCTTCCTTACTTCCTTAGGTTTCATATAAAAATACTACCTCCAAATCGTTAAGTGCATTGTATACTTTTACGTCCTTATTAAAAAATACTTTGCTTAAAAACTAAAGTTGTAATTTTAAATGGTAAAATTAATCAACAATCATAGGTTCAAACAAAACAAATCACATAAATTAACAACATCAGACAGAGTAAGCAAAAACAAAAAGCCGCCATAGGCGACTCCAAGCAATTCGCTTGTTTTCTGACTATCCGATGCATCTATGAGATATGGTATACAATGACTCCATGTGATGGTAGTAGCGTTGAGTCTCTATGAGACTCCACTGCGAGAGTCTCGAATCAAGACCCCATTTGCTCCGGAGTGTACGTGCAAAGAGAGAAAAAAATAGAATTAGAGAGAAACATTATCCTATTCATAAAATATGTGAAGAGACGCAACTACGAGAATCAATACCAAATCATAAACAAGTCTATATTTTTTATTATCCATAGGCATTCAGGATGGCCCATTCTATGTCATTTGAAACTTAAAGAGTTATCTTTCTAATCACTCAGTCTCATACTAACAAATTGAAAGAGCATGTAGTTAACTATGCCTAACAACAAATATTTTTATAAAATAATAACTAGTAAAATCTGGATTTACTCTAATCATTTATAGGAAAGTCAAATAAGTATTCTACAGAAAAGATTTCTAAAGGCATCCCTTTTCAATTAAATAAAAATCTATTAAGCATATAGGCATAGTTTCTATATGACCTTAATTATTGTAGATGCTTTTAAAGGAAAAACAAAAATCATATCCTCGGCACATAAAAATCTCAAAAGAAGTTTTAAAAAGAAACAACAACGAGACTTCACTTTGAATATCCAAACAAGTTTCTTACTTCATGTAAGCAAATCATGAATCTTCTTTAGATGAATAAAGACATAATCATCACACACCAGTTCAAAGATGGACAACTAATATTTTAACCCTCTTTAGCAGAAAATAATTTTTATTTTACATAACAATTAAGTAAGTGAGGAGTAAAATAACATTATGTATCACATTTGCCAAGTCATTCAGATTAAATAGGTTTTTAAGCTGTAACAAACATAACTTCGAATTTGAAAAAAAAATAAGAAAGAGAAAAAGAGAAAAAATCTTTAAAGTCACTGACCTGTTGCGGGGCAGTGAACTGAGGCATCGGCTTTGGATCTACCGAACTTCGACCTCGAACTTGCTAACTCAGATGATTGTTAAACGATGCAATCGTCAACAAAATGCAGCACCTCTATTGTATTTAAAACCAACAGAATCAAGTGGCAAGAGAAAAGAGAAGATTTTTGGCAAGGCAAAATTATGAGAACAAATGAGAGCAGTAGCTTTTATGAGTCATCGAGCGGCGGTTACCAAGGTGTTGAAAATAGTCACAAAGTCTGGTATTTATAGGTGTAAAATCAAGGTTCTTGCTTCATTTGAGCGGGAATTTGAAATTCAGATTTCAAAAGAAGTCAAACGGATTTATTAAAGTATCGTTGGAACCTTAGGTTGGATTCAAAATGGTGGGATATGCTCTTGTACGTAAGTGTTTGAAAGTTAAGAATTGGCTAAAGAAATGGAGGAAAAGTCAAGATGAAAGGAAAAGGAGGTAAGGATTGAAAAGGGGGGAAAGGGAAGGGGAACGTTTATTTTCTTGGTGAAAGAAAACATCTTTTGACTTTTTGTGAAAAAATTGGAGAAGAGGACAAATGAGTGGGGTAGCGTGTGGCTTAGTGTGCAAGCGTGAGTTTGGCATGTGTTTTTTTAATTGTTGGCGCACAATTGGCACTGACATGGTAGTTACGTGGAACTTATGTGGAGATGACATGGCACATAGTAGAGTAAGTGGGCTGGTGGGAGCAGGCCTACGATTTGGGCTATTTGTGTAGTTGGGCGAACTGATTTGAGAATGTAATCTTTGGACTTTTAGCCTCTTTTCTTCTTGGGTATTTCTTTGGGCTTACTTCTTATTAAAATCTCTTAATTAATCACGTTATTTAAATAACTACTTAAATTGTTCGACTCGCTTTATCAAAACTTATAATTTGGTAGCATTTAATTTTGCACAATAACTATTACACTAATTGTGAAATAAAGAGTAAAATTTTGTAAAGTATAGAATTAAAATAAATACTACTATTTGATTAAATGAATGAAAGTAATACATTTTTCGAAAGAAAATAATAATAATAATAACAGTAATAGAGATAATAACAATAATAACAATAATAATACTAATTAGGTCTTTTTTGGGATGACAATAGTAAAATAATTGTTCTTAAACTATTAGTAATATTTGAAGCTTAAAGAAATATTTTAGAAGAAAGGAGGGACAAAATTGGATGTCAACAAGCGCAGTCGCGGAATGAGCACCGCTGACTGCGGAAAATGCATTGCGGACACGGAGGTGTGGGGATCAGACTACCCATCCTCTGATTCTATACTACTGCTGAGTGCTGAAAATTGAGCGCAGCTGCGGAAGTTACACCGCTATCCGCAGAAAATCAACCGCGAACGCATAAGTCAAAATCGGGCTGAGTCAACCTAGGGTTTCAAATTGTCATGCATTTAGCAATATCCTCTACATTGTTAACCCCACTAGGTATTCATTAATAAATCCTAACTATTTTAAGCCAAATCTAATTAATACTAAACAACCCTAGGTCAAAATTAAAAGAAAAGGGGAAGAAGAAGTAAAAACTAATAACTAAAAGAAAAACAAATACAAAATTAAATAATAATGAAGGAGTAAAATTACCAGATGTGAGATGAGTGGTGAAAAATGAACTTTAATTATGTTTGTGCAAATTAGGGCTAAGGTGAACAGAGAAAATTTGTGCTGGAGAGTCAAAAGATCGAAAAGTGTAAAAGGCTTCTTGAGGTCCTATTTATAGAAAATACCCAGGGACCCACACAACTCACCCGGCGCGGCCGCGGAAAATCACTGCGGTCCGCACTTATGACAAACATAAGGACTGCTTTTCTGAGATTACCGCTGAGAACGGTAAATGGTACGCGGCCGCGGTAAGGCACCACTTTCAGCAAAAAATAGCACTGCGGACTCGGTGGAAACTTTAGAGAAGTCTCATTTTGAGCTTTTCAATCCCGTGTCCACCACCAATTTCCGCCTCCGCGATAAGGCCACCGCTGACCGCGAAAAATAGAGTGCTGTTAGTGGTCCAACTTCAGAGAGTGCCAAATTTTTCCAGCTTAGTCCTGCACTGCATAAAACATTCCAACACATATCACAACCAGTTAGTTCAAAAACAAATCCTACACTACAAAGTAAATTAAAAAAGACAAAAAATACAAGGGTTGCCTCCCAAGAAGCGTCTGATTTAATGTTGCGGCACGATGCAGGTTACCATCAATCACTTCAGATGGATCATTGCCACCACGTGGCTATCATCAAACTTGCCAAGGTAGTGCTTCACTCTGTGCCCATTAACTCTGAATATTTCACCATTTTTGTTTTTGAAATCAAGAACACCAAACGGAGTTACAAACACCACCTTAAAATGTCCACTCCACTTTAACTTGAGCTTTTCCAGGAACAGTCGCAACCGGAAGTTGAATAAGAGAACTAAGTCACCTTCTTTGAATTTCTTGCTATGGGCATACTTGTCAGGTAAGTACTTCATGTCGCGCCCCCTTTTTTCCTTCCCTTTTTTACGAGGAAGAAAGGTTTGGGTTTTAACATTTATGGGTAATAAGTCATTTCCTTTTGGGAATTGGGTATTTTGAAGAGTCGTCACCTAACGGATTATGGTGCGTTAGGGCACCTAGAGAGATTAACTCTTGGATTGGTTCACGTTTACCAGAGATTTAGGGTAAGGGCTCAAAATAACCTTGAGAAAAAGATGTTAGGTACCCCTCTCGGTCTACAACTGTGGGTCCCGGCCGAACATTTACTCATGAATTAGTCTTTCAATAAATAAGCACTTGAAACAAATAATTACAAATAAGGCATGTTGGAGATTGTGTGACTCAGATAATAAGACACAAAATTTGAACAAGTTGTGTGCATAAAAAAGAAAGCAAAGTTTTTAAGCAAAAGGAATTTGGAAAAGAGGGGTCCTAGGTTGGTTAGCCTATAGGATCACCCCACGCAATGCCCGGTAAATACTCTTCAATGAGGGGCTACACGTGGCATTAATGCATAGTCATCATATCCCGTTCTACCCAAGTCCCTCCCCTTGGTCATAGCCTAAAGCGTTCTAATAATCTTGACAATTCCTATGCGTGCACTACCCGTCCCTTCCTTGTGGCCTTGGAGGTATTTTAGGACCTCTAAATTTGGTCAGTTCTAGACAACCTCTAAGGTGTTTTAAAAGAAGAAAATTCTAGGCGACAGGCAAGAACACATAGGACTTAACAGCTAAATACAGAAAGAAACAGTTAAGAGGCCTATGTTTACCTCCACAAGTAATGCACATAAGCAGCACGTCTCAAGCACAAACAAGATCAATTTTTATTAGAGAAAAGACCTAAACAGGGCATCTAAGTAGGTGTCAATGCACAGAAATATGCAACTCTGCTTTTATAAACTCGACAATAAGGTCCTAATCAATTTGCCTACTGATTTTAAAATCTGTTAAATCTAAACAACTTTAAATAGCAAAAAAGATACAGTTATCAGAGTTGCAGAATTTAAAATCACCATATAGACTTGCCTAAACGCAGAATAGTGATGTCCTAAGAACATGTTAACTACGTTCGCTGTAGTAAAATAGTGAGTAGGTTTTAAAACAAACTCTTGAGTTCTTACAGGCATGCTTTCTAGCAGTAGTGAATGAATGCAATGTTTAAAAGATCGATTAAAGAAACGGACAATTGATTAAGCCAATTTTAAATTAAATAACATGAATTGGACTGACTTGTATACCTAAATTGATTTTAATTCTATAGGCAGAATTCTGATTTTATTCCCCAAAAGCATGGTATCTAATTGTTAAGAACTGGTGTTAGAAACTTATAGGCATGATATCTAATGAAAACAAATGTAAATACCCGTTGTAACTTAACCTGATCACATTATATAAGTATGGTATCTACTTAAGGAGTTGATTTTTAAACTATAGACATGATTTCTATTATTGGAACCACTTAAACCCTATAGGCATGATTTCTAGCATGGTAAGACAAACATAATAAGTATATTAATATGATCCTATAGGCATGGTTTCAAGCATGGTAAAGCGGACATATCAAGTATAAAATCCAATAGGCATGGTTTCTAGCATGGTAAAGTAGACATAGCAAGTATAAAATTCTATATGCATGATTTCTACCCATGCTACCCCACAGATATGTAACTACCCACCCCAATATTCGTTTACAAAAAAATATTACAAAATCGATGAATAAATTACATAAATAGATAAAAGAAAAAGAAGAAGTACACTATAGGGAGCTTGAAGTAGGCCCAAGTGATTTATCAAACCTCCAATAGCCTCAGATGCTAAATTCCATAGACAATATCATTGTCTAGGTGCGTCAGAGTTCCCTAAGGATCTCAAGGATCTCGGGCAGTGCTCACAACTAGACTTTATAACCAAAATTGAGTAAGTGCAGTGTGGAAGAGCCAGCTCCAATGCGTTAGAGTTCAGAGGGATCTCAAGGCAGTCACCCACTGGAGGGACAAAACTTAAGGACCTAAGAGTAGAGTAGGGTGCTTAACATAGTTTGAAAGGGTTTTAGTAAGAAAATAGTGTTAAAAGATACTTATTTGAAATAGTTTTGTAAAAACAACATAGGGAGTTATTCAATAAGACAATTTTGAGAAGGGTAAGGTGATCAACAAACAACAAACCAAACACAGAACCAGAAGAGGTTCATCAGCACTCCAAGACATAGAATCAAATAGGTACAAACATTCACTCAAGGGTAATGGGGGATTTGGGGCGAGTATAGGGCACATAGTAGGCAAAGGTGCACATAGGTACAGAATCAAAGAAGTCCTGAAAGGGGTTCAAGGGATTAAGGTACAACATGAACTTCAGAATTAATACAGAATCAGACAGACTTAGGATAGCCAACTACTTTACACAAGAAGGTGCATGCCAGAAATCAGAGAAACATAAGCAAAGAAGAGGCACATTGGGGGGTATACTAGAAAGGGATTCATGAGCAGGCTAATCCTAAGGGGGTTGGACATATTCAGAAGCATGCAGTAAAGAAGACAATGAAGTAGACATATTAGTTGCAGGTTGAACAGCAAAACCATAGACATAAACATATTAGAAACATGACAAACTGAAGTAGTAGAAGAAGCATATTGTTTTTGAAACTAGAACCAAAATTAGCACATACCAGTAAAAAACAGAAGGCACAAAGTGAAAGAGAACCCAATAGCTAGCCTCGGCTTGCAGCCGGCTAACTTAGAACAATAGTAAGTAACATAAAAGAGAGCAGAAAGTTTTGAGTGAGAGAGAGAGAGAGAGTTTTTGAACCAATATGTTCGTGTCTTGATTGTTAATGAGAGAGCATATATATAGTAGTTCGAAACTATTTAAAATAAGGAAAGAATTATAATTGTACAGTAATTATGGAACTCATAACTAATTAGAGTAAAATTAGTACAAGTACTCCCTTAATTAAGTGAATCAG